AGGAAACACAAATGCTCACAACTGGAGCAATAAGTAACATCATGATAAATGGAGAAAAGATTAAAGTTGTCAAGGATTTCACTTTACTTGGGATCTCTAATCAGAGCCCATGGAAGCAGGAGTCAAGAAGTCAAATGACATTATTGCATTGGACAAATATGCGGCAAAAAACTCTTTAAAGTGTTAAAAAGAGCAAAGATGTCACTTTGAGGACTAAGGTGCATCTTACTCAAATCATGGTTTTTAAATTGCCTCATATGCATTTGACAATGAAAAAGGGAGACCAGAGAAAAACTGATGCATTGAATTATGGTGTTGGAGAATATTCAAAGTACTATGGACTGCCAGAAGAACAAACAAATAAATATACCTTGGAAGAAGTTCAGCCAGAATGCTCCTTAGCAGCCAGGATGGAGAGACTTGTCTTGTACTTTGGACATACTGTCAGGAGGGACCAGCCCCTGGAAAAGGACATCATGCTCGATACAGCAAAGGGTCAGCGATAAAGAGGAAGACCCCTAATCAGATGGACTGATAAATTAACAGCTGCAATGGGTTCAAGTATAACAATTGTGAAGATATCATAGGGTCAGAACCAACTGTAAGTCGGAACCTACTCAAAGGCATCTAACTACAATGTGGTTGTTGTTAGGTTCCGTGGAGTTGGTTCCAACTCATAGCGACCCTGCCTAGGGTTTCTGAGGCTATAGACCTTTAAGGGAGCAGAAAGCCTCATCTTTCTCCCAAGGAACAGCTGGTAGTTTCAAACTGACGACCTTGAGGTTAGCAGCCCAATTTGTAACCACTACATTACCAAAATGCAGCACTGGTTTATCCCATGTACTGGACAAATGGCTCAGTGAAAAAGACAACGGGGATAATTCATCCATCCAAGCACGGAATGCACCAGGTAGCTAGGAATTGAGTTCCGAGAGGCATGGAAACAAGAAAAGAAATACAGCAAACTCAAGTACACAAGAGTGTCACAGAGTTAGTTTCAATTCATAGCTACCCTGTATAGGGTTTCTGGTGTGGCGCTACAGGATAAACACTGGACCGCAGGGTTGATTTGAACCACAAGGCCGTTAGTTCAAACTCACCAGCTGTTCCTTGAAACTCTATACAGGGTTTCTGTGTCAGAACTGACTTGACAGCACTTAGTAACAAAAAATAGTTTCTGAGGAGTGGTTGATGGTTTCCAGTAGTTATCCTACAGCACCACACAGACTCCACACACTGATTAGATATAATTTTTAGTTCATCTCCTTTAGAGAGGTGATAAGGGTATTCTTCATGTGGGAAGGCAGACAAGTAAATGAAGTAAATGGAGTATCTAGCAAACAAAAGGTAAATTTACTTACTTTTAAATCCCAGAAAACCCAAAAATAATAAAGTAGCAAATAACTTAGCATTTTCTTCTAAAGTTAATACTTACAAAAGGAAAAAGGGTATTAACTCATAAGCTGCAGCCCTTTTGTCTTAGGTCATAAGTTGTCTAGTCTTTTTTATTTATGTGTACAGTGCTTTAGAAATTAAAAACAAAGCACTTCTACAACTTTGTTGGAGGAAAAGACAACTACAATATTACATAGTGGATGTATAAGCATGTACCTGGGTTTGAATCCTGGCTTCACTATTTAGGTTTACTAGGGCAAACTACTGTTTCCTTAATACCATTCACATATTTGAACCATATGTCAAATCTCCAGGAAATATGAGAAATATAAGGTCACCTGTGACTCTGGGGGTAAAAGATGAGGCTGTCTGCTTCTGTATAGTTTTACAGTCTTGCAAACCCTGTGTAAGGTCACAATGAGTCAGAACTGACTTAATAGCAACGAGTTTGGTTTTTTGGTTAGGTTGACAAAACTTAAAATTCTTTAATTTGTAATGTGTGGATAATTTCAGTGGAAAACAGAAGGCACAACACTGTGAAGATCAAATGAGACTGTGAGATTGCTTCAATCATAAAACACTACACTTTTAATCATCCAAATGTTTATTGAAATGCCAGGCATTGTGCAAAGCACTAGGGAGATAACAGTGAGCAAGACTTATATGGTCCCTGCCATTATAAAGCTTACAGTCTAGCAGTAATCAGTAAGTAGTAACAATCAAGTGTGCTAAGCTTATGGTTAGGGAAGAAAAAGGTATTTCGGGAGCAGACAGTAGGGGTAATAGAGGGCATCAAAGGGTTCATAGAGGAAGTGGCGTCAATCTGAAAGATGACTAGAAGTGTGTATCATGTCATAAAAGCAATGGTGAAAACAGAGGAGGGACAACAACAGTGGAGTGCAAACAGTGGAGTGACAAGATCTGCCTTTTGGAATACCTGGCTGCAGCATAGAAAGGGATCAAAACCAGAGGGAGGGAGAAGAGTGAGGAAGTTGTTGCTATAATTTAGGTAGTTTGGTGGCCTGGAGAAGGCTAGTGGCACCAGAGTTGATAGAAATGTAGATAGCAGAATAACAGAAAGGCCTTTCTTTGTGAACAGATGCAAGGAATGAAAAAGGAAAACTCATGGATGACTCCATTTTTTGCTTGGGCAAGGGCAGTGAATGAATTTAGTACCATTTATTAAAGAGAGAACATGAGAGGAGGAGCAGACTTGGGAGGCAAGATCAATGATATGCTGAGGTGTCTGCGAGACTGCAAAGTGGACTTGTTAGTTAACAGATATAAACCTTAGGAAAGGTATAGAAAGAAGAAATTAATTCAATAATCCATTACATAAAAGTGGCACCCAAAGCCAAGAGAGGAGATGAGCTCAATTTGGGAGATGATGTAGAACAGGACTCACTTGGTAATTCAGTATCAATTACTGATTTAAAACAAAATAAAAACAACTAAGGAACACAGATATTTACAGGAAAGAGGTACCCACAAAGAATATTGAAAAGCATAGCTGGGGATGGCTCATCCCCAAAGCTAAAGCAAATATTTCAAGGACAGCGGTCAGTAGTATCAAAGGAGGCTAAGAATATTCAAGATTTAGTGACCTTAGTAGAGCAGTCTGAGTGGACATATGGGACACTTAGGAACATAGACAAATCTTCTAAGAAAGCTAGCAGGGATGGGAAACATATTTTTACTATATTATATTCACTGATATAACAGGACCAGTAACAATTTTATATAAAAAAAAAAAGACTCCCATGCAGTTACAGAATTACTTAGTACAAAAACCAAACAGTAAAAATACACATTTTTAACAAACAAGATCTAGTTTGGGGCAACTTCTCTATTGAGGGTCAATTTAAAATCCTTGGATTATCTCCTACCACTTCATTAGTGACTATACGGTGCAAACTAAGCAAAACATTTACTGAAACTTCACAAAATGTACAAAACTTCAATATTTGAAGAATTGGGGTCAGAAAGCAGAAGCAGCTTTCAGGTTTTTAAATCATTCTTTCAAGTATTTAAAACATTTGCCTTGAAAACCACTCAAAGCTATTGAGAAACTACCAGTAGATTCTTTTTGGTTGTTAGTGTGTTGTATTTCCAGATATTTACAATTACAGTTAATCAAACTGTCAAAATGTCAAACAAGAACCTCTCCCTCCCAGTAATTATGACAAACAAAGTGTCTCTACATACTTCCCAACACCCTCTGGAGGGAAGGGTTACTGCCTCCAGTTAAGAACCATTGACACAACTTTGCTTCTTGTGGTATCTATTTTGACTGTTTAGGTTCTAGTTCCTTCCAGATTCTTAGCTGTTTTTGCTTGAATTTGCTAGATTAGTGATCACAAATGATTATAATAGTTAAAGACAGTTCTTTAGCACAACAGTCTTCAAATTGTGCTTGAGATGATCTGAGTGAGTGCAAGGTGAAACCTGTTTTTAAATCAATTTTACACATTGGGCTTTACCATAAGGTTAAATTTCATGGTTAACAAAAGCTTGCAAATTATCAGTTTAGCACAAAACAGATGTTTTACTGAAATATAGAACTTTTGTAATCGGTGAATAAGGCAGTCTCCTGGGAACTGAGTTCTACTTGTGCACTGTTTTAATTAAATACAGAAATGTGTGGGAGTTTCAAATTCACAATCAATCGATTTCCAGCAGCTGAAAAAATCTGATGACACTTTAAAATAAAAAATTCCCTTTAAGCAGGATTTCTTTATAAAGCAGCCATATCCATGCAAACAGGAAATAAGCTAAAATAGTGTACATTTCCTGATCCAAAATTATTTTTTCCTTATCCTTTTTGACAGAACTAATCTCTGTCTAGAGTAGAAAAAAAGACTATCAACCTTTAACAGATTCTTTACTTACAGGTAGTTCTTTAGGAGGCAAACTGGTAAAGAAGCCACTGACTTAGCAAAATCCAAGGGAATGCCCCTATAAATGATTAGTCTGAGCTCCAGGTTGCAGGAAGCTTCCTAAATCAGCAATTTAATAATTCTTGTTCCTCTAAAATGTTATTGAATTACTTCTTCTATTATTAATAACAATAACACCCAGCCTGGTGAGGGAAGGAGGTGAGAGGGATGAAATCAGTATTTACTCTAGACTCAGAAATAAGTTTTTAAAAAAACATGAACGCATTTTGGTAGTTAGACAATATACCTCCACTGAATGTGAGTTCTTCCTTTCTGGAACCTTTTGAACTTGCTATGTCAAGTTTCTGCAAATTGGCTCAAATCTACCATTTAAGTAGTTGATCATTTCAGAATAATATAACAATCAAAACAATAGCTAAAAATTTTGGCATGTATCTTCAGAACACCTTAGAAACAGATTTCTAATTCAACTCACATCAGTACTGAACTCAAAAAAAATTTACATCATAAGAGCAAAGGACAATGACTATTAAACTAAATTTATATGAGAAGTGGTGTTCTCATGTTTCAGTCCCATGCTGTCGATTGAGAAAAAAAATAAAAGGCAACTGTCAGAAGACTGAATCCTGATCAGTCTTGTGATAAACTTGGTGCTTTTTCACAATCCAAATGAGTAACCCTGAAAATCCAAACCCATTTTTTGCTTTTAGAATTGATTTCCTAGCGTTTTTCATTATTGTACTACAAAAGTTTATGGATTAGACTCATTTCTTCCTCTTAGAAGATCATCCCAATGGGGCTCCATTTCAGTTGTGGCAATCCGAAACAGGGCTCGGAGATGCTCATCTGTCAATGGCTGGCTCAAAGTATGCTGATTTTGAGTCAAATATGAAAAGGCCTTTTCACAGATTTGGTTACTATCAAACAAGGATGCCACTTTACAGGCAACCCCTTTGATAATTGGGTAAGTCTCAGCAGACAATCCAGCATAGAACTGTCTCAAGTTTTTGATCGTGTATTCATTCCAAAGATCGGTATTTGACTGTAGTTTTGTTAGCTCCATCCTTACTGAGATGGGTGCATGTTCAGGTTTAAAGTTAAATGGATTTGAGAAAAGTTCTAAGTCCTTTTTAATGAATCTGAGGTCCTTGAAATGTCTCTCAAATTCCTTTTGTAAGCGACAGATCACTACTTGGTATCTGTCAGGTTCAAATATTTTCTGATCATCTTTAAGGTGCTGTTTAAGCTCATCAACAACTTCTCTGAAGGCAGCAAAGTGTGTCAGATTTTTTTCCTCAATGTGTCTCTGAAGTAAATTCAGCTTAACTTCAAAATTACAAATATGGTCAAAAGCAGCAGCAGCAAAGACTTTACTAACTCGCAACTCTTCGCTGAGTTGGCGAAGGTGGTCCATAACATCCACTAAAAAGCCAAAGTCACAAAGCCACTGCTTGTCTGTGAAGTGGACTGTGGTGGCCCCTATTGAAACCAAGAATGCCTCTATCTCTTTTCTTAGGCAGAAGATTAGTTTTAACGTTTTCCCTCTTCGAAGCCAATTGTTCAGACATCGTCCATTAACCCTTTCACCATGCTCTGACTCAGACTGCATCAGTAAAGTCTGAAACTCGGGTCGCCTAACGCCTCTGGTCTTAATCAAGACTATCCATTCGGATATAGTATTTATAATCTGATTAACATCTACATCGTAGGAGCTCAGTAGTTCCAAGTGAAGAAATCCTGAATAATGAATAACATTCCAACAGTTGGGGCTTACAGCCTTTTCTCTCATGTAGGAGACCAATCCTGAGTTCTCACCAATCATCCTCAAAGTGTGGGTCGTGGTCAGTCCAACCATTCGCTGCAAGCTAAGCCCAGCTGTCTGCAGGGCCTCTAGGATTGCAGTCATCAGGGCACCCACACTGAAGTGATGAGTCAGGTTGACGATGGTCAGAAGCTCCTCCTGCACCTCCAAGTCGTGGCCCACGCCGCGGAGAAAGACCAGGAGGTAGTTCTCATAGGCCACAAAAGCTTGGTCGTCCAAAGCAAGGGAATAGGCTTTAAAGTCCCTGGCTCGGTTAAAAAGCTGATTGCATAGATTCCTGTCAATGTTCAGGATCCTCTGCCCAGTGATTTCTGGAGATAAATCAATACCCTCCAGGACGCCTACGTGGTCTGGCAGCACCTCTCTCAATATCACTTCCAGGCACTGGTACACAAAGTCCCCCTCTCCCCAGCTGCGACCCTTCAAGGCCAAAAGGCGGGCGAGCCCGAGGCCTGCACGAGCAGCTCTCTCTTCCGGAGTGAGCTGAGAGACCACCTGGAGATCGCCCTGACGCAGACGCTCCACTAGGGCCGCGCGCTCGCCCTCCGCCACATACCGATCATAGTATTCGTGCTCGGCCTCGTAGTGCCGCCTGACGTCGCGTTCGCGGGTAGCTACGACAAGGCGGCGACAGACCAGGCACAAGGCCCCGTTGCCCTCGGGAGGCTCCACCACCAAGTAACGCTGGGTCCACTCAGGCCGGAAAACACGAGATTCGTCGACTTCCATCTTGTTCCTTTTGGGCGTCATCCACATATCGTTGGAGGCCATAGAACAGGGCCGACCTGAGGGCGGCAGCAAGGAGAGGGGGGGGGAGCAGAAGCAAGAGCCAAGCAACCCCTCTGCTCTGCGCCAGAGCCCCTCAGCTGAGTACACCCGCCTCCCGCTGTCGCACTTGCGTTTCTATTGGCTGGAGACCTCGTAGCGTCTGCGGCTTTCCAGAAGTAACCAATAGGAAGACTTGACCTTATTTCTAACGCGTAATTGGGTATCGGACGCTTTAGGGAGGGATGAAGGAACGCATGCACGAAAGAAACTTGACTAGCATTCGAGTTGTCCAATCGATGGCTTCCAGGCTGCGTTGCCGAGGTAGAGCAAAATGGCCTAAGCGGAAAAAAGTGAAATACGAGATACTAAAGTGATTGGTCGAACGTACTTCCGGTGAGCGACTCGAACGTGACCGGAGCGCCATTGGCGCCAAAATGTCGTTCGTGGTGGGGGTGATCCGCCGCCTAGACGAGACAGTAGTGAACCGCATCGCGGCAGGAGAGGTTATTCAGCGACCGGCCAACGCCATCAAGGAGATGATTGAGAACTGGTATGGAGAGAGTCGGGCTAGGCTCCCTTGTTGTTGTTATGTGCCGTGGAGTCTGTTCCTATTCATAGCGACCCCTGTACAGGATTTCCCGAGGCTGTAAATATTTACGGGAGCAGAAAGCCTCATCTTCTCCCGCAGAACAGCTGGTAGTTTCGAACTGCTCACCGTGATCCGTAACCGCTATGCTACCAGCGCTCCTACCAGAGCTCCTTAGAGGCTGAGAATTAACGGGCCCTTGGCAGAGGATTGCACGGACACGCCTCCCTGCCCTGGGCGGGGCCGTGTATCGGGCATGCCCACTGCAAAGTACCTGGGCGCGGGCCAAATCTGAGTTTTCCTCTCTCGGGTTGCTGTTTGTTAAGCGCTCGCGCTGAGAGGTCCTTTCTAGCGGTGTCTGATACGAGTAGCGCATACGTTTAAAGATGCATTTAGCTCGGAGAGTCCGTTTGAAAATATTTGTATGGAAGGTGCAAACAGGGAATGTACAAAAGTTTACCTTGGGTGGGAGAGAAATCTCCGTCTCTCAGAGAATAGCATGTTATCAGTTTCTTTATCATTTTAGAAATCATCAGTACACACCATAAGTACAGTTCATTTTCACTTTTATTCAGAATAAATCGTTTGGATTTTTAGGACAGGCTGATGGACTTTGGGTTTAGCTTGTGATTTTTATGTTGCCACAGTAGTAACCCCTGTTTTCCTGACCTCTTTGGTGCACACTCAGCTGTCTGATGTTACAGGGCATCTCGCAGATTCTGACACTAGTAATTCGCAAGCAGTATGGAGGGCAGAGCTTTAAAACACGTGGAAAGAAGCCTGGGTGGAAGTATAAGTTTCGAAATGGTGTCCAGTAATACTAGTGTATCTAAATGTTATCAGATCATTTGTCTTAAACTCATTGAATGTTAATAAAGAACATGCATTTTTAAGAATGCTCCAGGTAATAATGGCCAATACACAGGTTGATTTCTTGTGAAACGTAAACAAGTAGTTCAGAATAATGGAACTCAAAAGAGGTCTAGATGAGAGATGAGCAAGACAAAGGAAAAGAATTAAAAGTGGAGACAAAAGAAGGAGCAAAGAGACTGCGAACATTTTATCCTGTGGTTTATATTTATAAAGACTAGATTTGTTTCTACAGTGTTAAAATTGACAACTGTGCCAGAATTGTACACAACAAAACTAAACATACCGGCTCTGTAGCTTATAATTAATTTTATAAACAGATTTTGTATGGACTTAGGGTATCTATCTGGGTTGAGCACATCAAAAGGTTCATGGAAAAATAAAATGAAAAGATTATGGAATTTTTCCATAAGTTTTTTGAAGCCCCTTCAAAAAATAGTATTTGAGGTGGTTAATACAATGGCATAGGAGCTCTGGTAGCATAGTGGTTACGAATCGGGGCAAACTGCAACGTCAGCAGTTCGAAACTACCAGCTGTTCTGCTGGAGAAAGATGAGGCTTTCTGCTGCCGTAAATATTTACAGCCTCGGAAACCCTGTATAGGGTTGTTATGAGTAGGGATTCAAGGGCACATAACAACAACAGTATAATGGCAATTAGAGGCTCGAGAGAAGGGCCTTTTATATTTAAGGAATTTACTGTCTTGTTTCTGATAAACAGTTTTCTTTGTGGGGAGTTTACAACTTCTCTCTCTGAAATAGCCCCAGGATGTATTCACTTCTCTGACAGGTGCTCCATCCATGCCTATAAGTTATTCTTGAAAGGCAGAAAGATTTATGGATTCTTAAAGAATGACCTATATTGCAATTTTCCTTTTTATCTTATGTACATGCACTATCTAATACAACTATGCTTTATTAGAGAAAAGCATTTGAATTATGTTATTTATGACATATTAAGAACATGTTGTTGTTGTTGAGTACCGTGGAGTCGGTTCTGACTCATCATGACCACCCTGCACAGGGTTTCCGAGGCTGTAAATCTTTACAGGAGCAGAACGTCTCATCTTTCTCCTGCAGAACTGCTGGTAGTTTCGAACTGCTAACCTTGAGGTTGGCAGCCCGACTCATAACCACTACACTATAAGACTGAATAAAATTGAAGTAAGGTGGGAAAATTAGTTGAGAAGAGGGTAAGGAAAAGGTGTGTGCTGCAAAAATCCTGCTTCTAACTTCACTCTCCAGCTAGAGGAACAGAAATAATACTGAATGATTTCAGTGAAATAATGCTTGCTGTCTTCTGTGCCCTCCCTCTCTTACCTAAACTTATACGCTAAGCCTGTAAGATGAAGGAAAAACACATTGATCTGACAGTCTTGTGTTTAGCTGAGCTGTATTTTTGTCGCTTGACTCAATATCTTTTGGGTCATATTAAAATTTATGTGTTAGTATAGTTGCAGACTGATTTTTTCTCTTTGATTTGCCAGTTTAGATGCAAAGTCCACAAGTATCCAAGTGGTTGTTAAGGAGGGAGGCCTGAAGTTGATTCAGATCCAAGATAATGGCACTGGGATCAGGGTAAGTACAACCCTCGGAAGAGGAGGATGTCAGTGTGCTTCATGTGCTACATCAACTGAAGAAACAACCTTTTTCTGTTCTGGAAACTGGGATTTTGCAGACGATATATATGTTGTTGTTATGTGCCGCTGAATCGATTGTGACCCACAGCCACTCTGTATAGGGTTTCCAGGGAGCCTCTGGTGAGCTTGAACCACTGACCTTGCAGTTCAAATGACTTTGCAGTCTGATGCATTAACCCACAGCGCCAAACTAGGACTCTGATGTAATAT